CTACAGACTTCTTGACCGCATCGTTATCGTCACACAATTCGGAGTCAGGCCTGGAGTTTACATTTAGCTTATCACTGAACTTGCTCACTGGTTCACAGTTCACCTTTGTATGCACCTCTTGCAAACGTGTAAAACACAACCGTGTTTGTCTTGCATCTTGTAACTTATCTGTTGAGGATGTACTACGAAACCTGTTACACTCACTAGGTCTATATGCATTACTAGACATCATGGAGCCTTCTCGATATCCACCTCTCTGAGGCCTATTCGTCATCAATGATTGCGTTTTACCCTCAGACTGCTCTATTCTAGGGGTGAGATGTAATAGACTGGCGAACTTGCTCATAGATTGATTGACACTATCTTTTACCAGTTTCAGGATATCATCAAACTTTGGCTCGATACCCTCATCCTCCATACGGGAGCTTATCTTCACCCACTTCCTTTGCAGTCGAGTAGGTAGGCGTCTTGCTATTACTTCTAGTATAAAACTCGAGTTGAGGTCACTCATGCAATTCATCGAAATCAATGCATTCTTGTAAATCAGCAAATTATCTAAAAACTCAGTGAGTGCCTGGGAGTCATCCTGTAATTGACCACCATTACCCTTAACAGCCTCGAATAATTTCCCTACAATCATCGAAGGTCTTCCAAACCTTTGACGTAATATGCTCATAGCCTCGTAGTAGCCCTCTTTTGGCTTCATAAACTTACAGCACTGTATAGCTCTTGCAGCATCTCCAGTGCAATACCTCATCAAATACATTAACTTCATTTCATCATTTAATAAAAAACCACTCAACATGATCTCAAACTCCTTTACAAACTGTAAATAATCAGCTGGGTTTCCATCGAAACACCGTGGTTCAAATTTAGGGAGTTTGATGTTCCTATTATCCCTGAACGGCGAAACAGTAACATCAACCATGTCATGCTTAACATCAGACACATCGTTACAATTAACAGACAAGTCACCATGACTTACTTTCCTGTTTGCATCCAAGACGCTCTGTCCCTTCTTTGACCCAGGCATTGTTGAACTTGACCCAATTCCAAAAAGTTCCAGATATTGCTTGTTCAAAGAGGACTTGACCGGCACCAGGAAAGATGAACGGTGACTATCCAAACTATCATCAACTCTCCAAAACCGTCTAAAACTGACGCCGTACCGTCAGAAACTGTCAGCCACGTCTCGTAAACCGTCAATGCCCAGCTCTTGCTACGCTGGGGCTCACGCTGTTCCTTGAAGTTTCTCAGAAACGCTTAGTAATAACGGACGCAAAAACCAAAACACCAATTGGCTACTCGAGAATTCTTTATTGTAACACCAACATATAACCAACTTAAAGTTACAACTAAGGTCTGTGAACACATATTACAATAATAAATCACAATATTACTTCTGACGGTTTTCTCCTGACTTCTTTCTGAACAGCGACCGATGAGACGATGAATGTCGTATTGATGCCTCCGCGAAAATTGAGGGAAGTTGGTTTTGAGCAAACAACCATGAATTGATCGTTCAATCTTTAGCTACATTGACAGCTGGAGATTTCAATGCCCCATCACCGAACCTTGGTTCGGGGTATGCTAAGGGAAAATTTGGCCGAAAACTGCTACAAACTATTCGAAACATGGGACTGACTGCGAATGTTGGAGACGACACTAGGTGCAGCCCTAGTGTAAAGTCATCAAAACTAGACTACATTCTATCTAGTGTCCAACTACTCGTCGAAAAGGTCCGGATCATGACTCCTCTAGGAAGTAGTGACCATGCAGTCATACGTTTCGACCTCGTTCTCCGTCAGCATTTGCAGTGAGACGTTACGCGACCATGTCGGTGTTACAGAAAGGCTGACTATGCTGAAATGCGGGGGCGACGCATAATGGCCAGTAGCATGGGATGAACTATCTGTGGATGAACACTGGGAGGTGGTAAAAAAGATTATTCATACGGTAATCTCAGATAACGTCCCTTCAGTCACAACAAAGACCAAAAGAAAGTTATCATGGTTGAAGAGAGGCTCGCAACGTATTCTGCAAGCAAAGCGGAAGGCTTGGTTTACGTGGCGCGTATCTAAGTGTCAAATTGACCACGATGGAACTCAAGAACCGGTGCAATGAAAGATTGAGGAGGGACAGGAGTTCATTCCAGGCTAATCTTGCTAAAAAACTAATGGCAAACCCCAAAAACTTGTACCGATTCATTTCGAAAAGAAAACCAACCAGGGGGCATGCGCCTTAGTAGGCCCAAACGGTCAATATCTCACTAGTCTGGAGATGGCTGAAACATTCAGTCTAGCCTTCCCCAAACAGCTAAACAGCAATGTGGGTATTACCGTTACGGACCAAAACGTTGGCACTACTATATCACAGGAGGAATACCTAGTGGTTACTCCCCGAACAAACTCCACAATAGCACTAAGTAAGCTACAGCAACTCACACCTGGGAAGTCTTCAGGTTGTGATGACATCAGGCCATCTGTTCTGAAACAGTGCGCCGAAGCTCTCTGTAGGCCTTTATAAGACTTGTTCCAACACTCAATGGAATCGGGAAACTGCCAAGGGAGTGGAAAATAGTCATCCTTTCTCCGATCTTCAAGGGTGGGGCTAGGCAAAATATCACTAGTTATAGACCAGCAGCTCTACTCCCAGCGGTATCAAAAGTACTGGAAAGTGTTATTGACTATCACATCAAAGAATATCGCGACAGGTCTAATATACTCCATGAAGCCTAACACGGTTTCAGGAAAGGCAGATCCTGCGTTACTAATCTGCTATCAACTTGGGATGATTGGACACCATGCTGGGATATGAATGTTCTAGTACATGTGGTCTTCCTAGACTTTGAGAAGGCATTCGACACTGTTCACCATGATCTCCTCCTACTTAAAATAATTATATATTTCTTCCTGTTCATGCAGGAACATACCAACTGTATAGGCATGGATAAGTTATTATATAAATTACACATAATTTGATGTATGATGAATTTACAGTTTGGTTGTTCTTTCTCACATGAGAGTCAGTCGGAACAGTCCGCTATAAAGTCTGTTTGTGTAGCACATAAAGAGATATAGAAATATTGTCTTCGCATTAACAAAAAACCCAGACATCAGATGAATGTAATACAGATATCTGGGAAAAATAAAGCTTGAAGTCAATTCGCCTATATGAGCCAGGCAGGTGTAGGTGAGCCGCTTCTGTCATGGTTAAAAGACTACCTAGCTGACAGGCAATTTCGCACTAAGGTCTATCGAGTCCGATCATCTTGGCACAGCTCGTCATTAGGAGTGTCGCAGGGTTCTATCCAAGGACCACTGATGCCAATGGACGTGAACATTGAACGTTTGTTTTTGTAGATGGTACCCATCGCTTGGTAACTCGAAGGCGCGAATGGTCCGATCATGTACAAGTTCTATGAAGACGAACAAAAGCGAATAAAATCTTGTATTATTCTCCGCTTTAATTGCCAAACAATATAACTTTCTTCTTACAATACTGGTGTTTTGGAGTGAAAGTCGAAGAAAGTACATAGTATTTATCGGTGCAGAGCGTCTTCGTAACAATAGGAACTTAGGGATAAGTTCCTTGTCAGCTAATGTTTTTATTTTTATCAACGATCTACCATGCCGTCTAAGCTGCCCGACTCTTCTATACGCTGACGACGTAAAGATATGGTGGGCGACAAAGTGTCCGGAGGACTCAGATAGGCTGCAGGAAGATCCAAACCTTCTGGAAGACTGGGCGTTGGCCAGTGGCATGACTTTCAACCTGGAAAATTGCAAAGTAGGGAAGTTATGCACCTGTAGACTGCAGAATGCAAGTTACACCCTGTGCAATGAAAGATTGTCCTGCACATAGTCGGAACGCGACTTAGGTCTAGTTCTAACGGACAAAATGGACACAAGCGTAAATTACACAGGTGATGTAGCGAGGGCATGTGCGGTCGTACACTTTATGCACAGACAGTTAGGTGCACTCATTGCTGAGCTCTTTCTAAGGTTATACAAAACATACGTCATACCACACCTTGAAGTGCATATTATTATTGCACCCCTACTGCTTGGAAGAGACGCCAATCTCTTAGAAAGAGTCCAACGACGGGCAAAAAAGGAGTGGTCTCCTAAATAAGGCATATGATGAAAGGCTGAAGAAATTAGGCCTGTTCACACCTAGCTACCGACGTCTTAGGGGGGATTTAATTACTTCCTACAAAATAACAAATGACCAGAGTTACCCAAACAACGGTGTTCTGCCATTGAGTAGGTATTGGCTCCCTCGCGGAAATCCCAGAAGGATAGCTCACCAAAGGGCAAGGACCCGGGTACGCTCTCACTTATTTTTACTGCCGGTTTGCCGCCCCTGGAATTCCCTGCCATCAGATGTAACTACGGCACCGTCTGTGGACGCCCTGAAGCAAAGACTGGACAACCATGCAGCGACACAAGGACTGCATCAAAATGTCCTATCCCCTTAGAATCGCATACACCATTCAGGGGTAGACAATTAAACTTGTCGTTTCACTTCTTTACATTCTCTCCCGTCTTACTCTCCTGACAACTTTAACTACACTTATTATTATTATCATTATCACTGATATATATATTATTCATATTATCGTTCAAGTTTAACCAGCTGGCTGTTGTTACGTTTTCTTATTTCTTTTTCTGTCTATTGGTCTGAATAACTTCACTAATTATATCTACTATTATTATCTCTTTTCTTTTGACGACGATACTGGAGGACTAACTGGTGAAAGGATCAACTCCATTCACTGTAGTAGCAGTCTTAACACACCTCATACTACAAACCACATATAATTAATTCCAGCAATACACTTTTGCAGTCAACCAAAGCTATGACAGTCGAGTGGCAGGACAAACTAAGCAAAAGTTTACCGAAGATCAGGAACCTATACTTTACAATCAAGAAGCGAGTACAAAAAAATCAAACAGGCTAATACTAGCTCGTAAAAACGATATTGGATATTGGATGACCTTGAGAGACCTTGGCAGACATAGAAACAGCAAACTCCCGTACTCTTAAAATGACATATGAAGGTTACATTTGCAGTGTTAATCTCAGACTTCATCACGTAATGTGAAAAAACTCAGTATTTAATGTAAATTGGTAGGTATGTTCCCCTGGGGCACGTCTTTATGGTGAGAATTGCCTGTACTTACTGGTCGAATTATTTAACACACCGAAAAGAACTGAAATGATATTACCCTGCTTTCCTCTGCTGGTTGATAGGAGCCTTGTATTCACGAAGTTGTTACGTCTTAAAAGTAGTCCCTCAACCTTGTACGACATTTTGGAAAGCAAGTTTATTTCATTTCTTCGATATATCAGTTTCAACTGGCTAGATTGTAATATAAGAGTAGAACTTCGTGAGGATCCTCTCGATTCAACATCAATAAAGCTCTTAGCGTTTTATTCACATAATGCGTGGAGATTTTTGGTCGGACCATATTACAAAAGAATACACAGCATTGTAACAAGGGAAATATTTCTCAGGAGAACAGTTGACTTCAAAGTAAGTCAACTAGTTCTCAACCGTTTCCTTCAGAAGTTGAATTTTTCCGAACTATGTTTTCATTTTTGCTCGTAAACAGTTTTATCTTTTGACGGATGACAGAAATATGGGGGACTTTGTCAGTATTTTCACTAAGTTAGAGATAAGTGAGGCGTGTTTTTATTTAGCGCCTTCCAAAAACATGAAATTCCGAAAATTTATCACAAATTTGAAGTGTAGTAATGCAATACCCAATATTTTTATGACAAAATTGTATAAAACTTGTGATTTCTCAATGTTTCGGAACGTTTCTAAATCGTTGGTAGATATAAGTACAGTCTATCCTTTTGGCTACTGCAGCTTTGCTGGTGGGCGGCTAACTCTAAGGGAAAATACGTTATTCTCTACCCTTGTTACCTCTTTTTAATGAGCAACTCTGTGAAGGTTACCCTTAGGATCACCATAATACCTTTCTTTTAATGTATCTCTGATCAGATGCATGAGGCTATACACTGTATACTTCATTCAGGTTTCTCTTGGTCCTAGGACAGCTAGCTTAAACCTTGCTTCCGTAATCTGTCATCACTCTTGCGGCCTTCCAATCTGATGACAGTTTTGCTAACTCTCCTTTGCATTCTTTCTAAAAGATTCACATCTCACCATAGGAATGATGGTATAGTGGCAATAGAAACCAAAAGCCAATATTTGATCGTCCAAACTACTGATATATTTCGGACAAAACAAGCCGTCACGAACGCTTAGTGGCTAGTGATCGTGCACGTGACACGAGTACAAATGGCGGGGATGCTTGACCGAAGCCTTCAGCAAAAAGTCGACTTAAACAGTGGTGGTCAGCATCCGAGTGATTGCTGTGGTCAATAATTTTGGGGAATTATTTACCGCACAAAACTTCCAAACGTGGACATAAATATGTCTGGAACAAATGCATAGAATGTCTAGTGTAAGTGCTTTCAACTCCTTATCCACAAAGAAAATTGCCGTAGATGCTTTGGCTATGTCTCCCACATAGTTAGCACTGGTGTCACTTTTATGCTTCAGCATAAACCCTCGATGTGTATTAGAGGTCGGCTGCAAATCAGCGGCATGGAAACTTTTGTCCTACTTGTGTACGGATGAATACTGTCCCATAATGCCGTTCAGTCATTCCAAGCTAAGGATAAATTGGTAGCATCAGACGGTTTCTTCTTGAATCCATGTTGAGCTTCGCGCAAGATTCTATTCTGGTTCAGATATTCCCTAATCTCATCATCCAGTAGGCTTTCCATCACCTTTGACATTATTGACGGTGGAGCTGCCAGTCTAATGAGCTTTTAGTTTTGTCGGGGCCTACCTCGCCTTCGAAAATGGGTGATAGGATCACCTGCTCTGAATCTCTCGGCAGTTAACATCTGTGGTCACTGCTGCCCACAGATGGTCCTATTTGTATATCCTCCATAAGCAGGTGGGTGTTCGTTAGAAGATAACCTAGAGCGGGTGCTTTACCGTCCAGCCGCTGGCGCGTATTGTTCTTTATCGTTTCATGTAATCCAGCCGTCGTCACAGTGTTCAGTCACTCTCTGTCGAAAGTTTCTCTCTAAGCTTGCTTCTCACTGACGCTTCGTAATATTGTATTAAAGTCGCTAGCGATAATGGCTTCATTATATCGTATAGCTGTAATCATGAGAATCGCTTCAATTATTTTTCGTTTGTGTTTTCCACGTTGCATATCAAGGATATGTAAATGGTTCCATTTAGCAACCTGACGAGCTGTTCTTTTCAGTCGTGCAACACACTATATAGACTTCAGAAGTTCCATCATTGCTGTTTCAGTGGTTAAACATAACGGGAGCTTACTGCCTACTTAAAGTACTTTGCATTGACTCTGAGTTCAACTACAAACGTCCCACCAGTAGATCAAGGTCACTCTCGTTATCAGAATGCAGGAATTTAGCTAAATATAGAATGATTGACTTCAGAAAGATGAGTAGCCTAGGAAAGAATTCAGTGATTGCAATGAATGCATTAACTCACAGTCACACAGTAAGATGACGGACAGCTACAGTTCTAAAAGTTATATAGGTAGGTAGAAGAGGAGAGGCTGATCACTAAGTTTTTATTCATGGAATTTACCCCACACACACACATGAACTAAAAATAACTCCACACCGAAACCAGAGATATTGAAAATATTAATACCAATAGAATCAAAGGACAGAGAGTAATAGAGTTCTATAAAACACAAAATAATTGAGCAAAGAATATCTTCTTTTCGATAATTTCTTCTTCTAACTCTTCAATTATATATATATATATATGTTTATATACAAATATTCTTTTTTTAAATGAATAAATAAATAATTTTTGCTTTATTCCAAAACCAGTACTAATGATACAGCAGGGAATTTTCAGCATTTCAGTACAATATTGCATCTAATTTACTCAAAAACGACAAAAAAATCAAAAATACACATTACATAACAGTGATAAAACGATTGTTATAGCAGCTACATAGCAAAATACTGTATGCAATACGGAGAAAAATATGTATAAAGTACAAAATTGTAGTAATAATAGTAATACCAACTAAAATAAAATAGCAGAGTAACGATTTAAACAATAGAAAGTGTGACACCATAAAATACAGAAAGATGAAACGATGAAAGGGTCGATTCACTGTGCTAATTACATAGTAACTTGTAAGTTTCACGTCTAACAGAGTCTTCGTCACATAAAGTACGCGCTAAATAGGGTATTGTAGAATTTCTATACTTAGTAGTACGAGCATATAACTTTTTATATTGATTTCTCGTCCTACCTGATGAGATACAAGGGGATAGGTGTGAATAAAGTGGGGGGTGCAGAGGGTCTGACATTATAGCCTTTGCCCATTTCGTACAGGAATTTATATGCCTCTCGACTATAGTATTAGCGAGCTCATGCAGTGTCAGACCACAAGCTCTACTCACAGCATTTAATACTCTTCGTAATATGATATAATCTTTTTTGAGAAGCCCAGGAAAGACTAATGGAGAGCAATAGAGTACAATAGGTAAAATACAGGAGTTTAAAAATTGCAAAACTAAAGGTTGCTTGATACCTGATTGTCTTAACTTTTTAATGTAGAAGGTAAGACGAAACATTTTCTTAGAGATAGATAAGATATGGGATGACCATGAAAGGTCAGAGGAAAGAACTAATCCAAGGTATTTAATGCTTGATTTGGTTTCAATTTCCGTGCCATCTATGCTACAGGGATCATGCGAGCTAACCAGTTCAAGTAAGTCACGTCGATGCTTGAAAGTAAAGTCAAGTGCCTGACATTTGGAAGGATTTAATATAAGACCATTTGACTTGCACCAGTTGTTGATGTCCAACAGAAAGCTATTAAGTTTGGAGCTGTCAGACTCGGAAGTGATAGGCAGTGATACAGTCAGATCATCTGCATATTTGACAAAGTTAGTTTCGTTTGAATGAGGTAGGTCATGTAGGAAGAAAGAAAAAAGAAAAGGAGAGAGGAATAGTAGAATAGTAGTCAATAACAATGTTAGTGTTTTTAAGAATAATATCGATTTGTATAGCAAGATCACTGGAATTGCAGTTCATTAAAGATGCTTAGATTATAACGATAATAAAGATATAATAACAAATAGAATATCAACTAAAATTAGGTAAATTTCCACAAAAATTGAGGAACATTCGAAACTAGATGGCCAAGGTAAAGTCAGTTTCTGAACTAGCTTCTTTTGGACACATAAATTAGGCTTCTTAATATGGACGTCAACGGCCGGCCTCAACAATATTTAGTAAACGAACTCTTATGGTTAAGTTAAGATTTGTTGTTATGCAGCAAATGACTTTGAAAGCCTGGTTAACATCAATCTTGTCTTGTGTATCCACAAGATGAGATAGAATAGCACTGTGAATAGATTTTGTTTGTCCTTTACTTAACCAACCACTGTGCAGGATGATGTTCGGAAATCCGACAAGTTTGAGTCTCCTGAAATGATTATGAGCAATAAATTTTTGTTTGAAACAACATCAGTAAATAAAACTGTTTCATTGTTCATTTTTCAGGTAAGATCATTCTGTGGTGGGTGGGATTAGAAGTTATTTACGCTGAACAAACTTTTCATTCGACAGTCTATGAGTCATATATGCTGTGTGAGGACTTATGATACCAATAAGTTATTCAGGATGAACTGGAGTTCTTAAGTCAGTCAGTGAGCCATGTATCCAATCAAGTAACACTGTCAGTTAGCTGATTAAACTTCTGGTTTTGAAATAATGGCGAGTTTTGAAGCTCAGGTGGATGAATTTGATTTAGTTATGTTCCCTTAGCTGGTTGATTTAATTACGGCGCTTTCGTTGTCTCTCTAGACGACATCTTCAATGCAGGTTTTAGTAGGTAATAAACTTATTTGGATTCTCCATGAATGGTGATATAACTGTATCTTCTGGCAACCATTTTTTGGACTACTTGCTGATTCACGTCTCTATTGATCATTTTTATTGACTTAGAATTCGAACTTGCTTGTCACGTGTTTTACTTGTGATCAGCTGGTAAATTTGATCTGAAAAGCAAGACAAGCTTTCATTACTCTCAAATCTGTGTGGAGGTCAACAGCACTCAGCATCAAAAATAAGATCCGGATTTTCAACTCCAATGTAAAGTCAGTGCTACTATACGGATCAGAGACTTGGCGAGTCATAAAGAGCATCTCAAACAAACTTCAAGCCTTCATTAACAGCTGTCTTCGCTCAATACTCAAGATCAGATGGCCAGCCAGAAAAGATCAGCAACGGGGATCTCTGGGAGCGAACCAACGAGGAACCGATTGTGAAACAAATAGGCAGGAAGAAATGGAGATGGATTAGCCATACGCTGAGGAAACCATCAACTGACATCACTAGACAAGCCCTCGAGTGGAACCCGAAAGGGAAGAGGCTAGTTAGTGGTCCAAGGGTGACTTGGAGGAGGTTATGCGAGGAAGAGATGAAAGCATGTGGACAGACCTGGAGCGGGTGAAAAAGTTGTCAGAAAACAGAAGGCAATGGAGGTGCGCAGCTGAAGCCCTATGTTCTCTAGGAACTAAATGGTACAATAATAATAATAATGTTTGTTGATTGCTAATTCACCCGAGGACCAGGCGTCTCTTGAAATTCCCTGGCACTATTGTCTGGTGTTTTCTCTATTTAAAATTTCTACATTATTCCAATCATCAAATCGCTGTCCACAATTATCTGCATGTATTGATATGAAACAGGAATATACATATATATTGTGTCTTTTTACAGCTAATTTGTGTTCTTATATTCAGATTCGAAGGCGACGCCCACTTTGTTGGCCGATGAAATGCTTGTTACAGTTTATACAATTCATTTTGTAAATGGTATTAATTTTAGCTTCTTTTTTCTGTTGGATTTTTTGGTTTATACAATATCGAATGAAGTGATTGTGCTGGCTGACTGGCTGGCTGGCTTGTGTGCTATATCTAATTTAAATGGTCTCATTCTAGCTGTTATCTCAGAGGTATTTTTTATGTATGGTAGAGTGAAGTTTCTTGTGGTCTTTGATGCTGACTTGTTGTTAGTATTCTATTTCGTGTTTAAACAGTCTTTGATGAAACTGTGCGGATATCCATTCCTCTTTTTGAAGTCGGCTAGTAGGTATTTCTCTTCAACACTGGAGTGCTACAGTGTTGTGTTTGAACTTTTTCAACAATGTCTAAACACAGTTTCTTTTATGAGTAACTGGGTTATTGCTAGTATAGTTGAGTATTTGATCTGTGTGTGCGTTGATTTTCTGTATGTTTATGTTTCTAAATTTCCTGTATTAGTTCTCCTGATTAAGACATCTCAAAATGGGATTTTGTTATCGAATTCTTCTTCTCTTGTGGTGAATTTGATGTCGTCAGATATGTAGCTTATTAATTAATGGGTATATTCTAAATCACATTTCTTTTAATTATTACAAATGTATCATAAACGTGACGTACCCAGATTTTTGGTTTAATTATAGGTAGAGCTATTAATCCTAATAAGGGCGATGATCCCATTGGTGTTCCTTCTATGTGTTCTTATATTTGATTAATAATAAGTTAGGAGTATGTTATAAGACATGATCCTATGAGTTCCATCTAAGCTGAATATTGCGTTTTTATGTTTTCATCATTAAATCACGCGACCAGATAAAGGCTCCGGAATCGTCCTGATGAACAAATCAGACTACCTAAGCAAACTCTCGATGATACTATCCGATGATAAAAAGTTTCAGAAACAGTCTCCACAGAAAGATCCCACTGAACAGACGGAGCTCCAGCTAACAAAGATATTGAAGAAAATGAAGGACGAATCCATTATCAGTTCAAAGCTATACGAACAACTGCGCCCATCTGGTTCTACAACGCCACGTATGTACGGCTTACCCAAGGTACACAAACAAGACGTCCCACTCCGCCCAATACTAGATATGATAGATTCCCCATATCATACAATCGCGAAATGGCTGGTGGAGATTCTCGGGCCGGTGAAAGAGAAGCTGTCAAGACATAACCTCCGTGACACATTCGACTTTGTTGATTCAATTAAGAATGTCAATGTGGCAGAAAAGAAAATGGTCTCCCTGGATGTCGTGTCTCTCTTCACCAACGTTCCACTGACAGAAACCGTATGTTTCCTTTGTGACTACATTGAATCCAATAACATCAATGTCGATATACCAATTCATTACCTGAAAGAACTGTTACTTCGATGCACCTTCAACGTATACTTTAGTTTCAACAAAGAAATATACAGGCAAGTAGATGGAGTAGCAATGGGTTCTCCCTTAGGACCCCTTCTAGCCGACTGCTTTATGGCTAGCTTAGAGAACAACGCCTTATCAACAACTATCAACGACCTCCATCTCTACAAGAGATACATCGATGATACTTTCATTATTTGTGATGAGAACTGTGATTTAAAAAACCTACTTCAAATCTTCAATAATGCCCACCCAAACATCGACTTCACACTTGAGACTGAATCCGACGGAATGTTCCACTTCCTCGACGTCCATCTGACAAGAAACGCCGACAACTCCCTGAAAAGGTCCATATACAAAAAGCCTACATGGAATGGACAATTCATCAACTTTCAAAGCTTCGTGCCCCTGAGCAGAAAGAGGAACCTGATATACGCTCTTTCCTCGAGGATTCGGAAGATATGCAGCGAGGAAGTGGTTGAAGAAGAACTGCGTAATCTTCGAAAAACCCTGATGGAAAACGGTTTCCCGCCCAGGTTCATAGAAAAGAATCTCAAACCTAAGAAGACTTCTGAACAAGTCCAATCCGTCCCAAAGAAAATGCTTCTGCTTAATCTAGAATTCAAAGGTGATATTGAAGCAGAAATCCTTCGCAGACGCCTCTCAAAATCGCTGAGGAAAACATACTTCGCCGCTAGCCTACGACTGACGTTTTCCTGCAAGAAACTGTTCAGCCAGAACGCGAAAGACAAGCTGTCGCATTGGGCCACCTCAACGTGCATATACCAGTTTACTTGCTCTTGTGGAGCTGAGTACGTTGGCCGTACCATGCGCCGACTTGAAAAACGCGCTCGTGAACACTACCCAGCCTGGCTAGTAAAAGGAGACCAAAAGCGTGTGTACAGTTCGGTGACAGAACATTTGGTGAATTCAGGACATTCAGCGCCACTCGAAAAATCCTTCAAAATAATATATAAGATTCGATCAAATCTATCAAAGGGAATGAAATCAAGACATCTGGGCATAGCCGAGGCGCTAGCTATACAAAAGCTCAAACCCACGCTTTGTATCCAAAAGAAATACGTCCAACCCCTGTCCTTGCCATGGCCATCATAAACAGTAATTTTTAGTAATGACCATCCCATCATCTTTCTTATCTAAACTTCCTGTTTATTCATGTTATTTCAAGTTTTTCTTAATCCCTGTTTACACTACCATATTTTCATACCCGAACTTAGTGTTTATTTTGTCATTTTACTATTTCTACATATTTAATCCCTGATTGCATAAACAATTATTCATCACATTAGTTTTTTTATCCAAACATCCTGTCTATTTTGTTATTTCTACATTTCTAACCCCTAACTGCACAATGTCAATCTTTTTAGTAATTATGATGCTACTTTGTTTGGTTTTATCCATCCCCCTGTTTATTATGGCATTCTAATTCCTAATTTTAATTTTTATTAAGTTGACCCTTGACCGGAAATTATTCTGGAACTTTCCCATCCATTTGATATAAATAGACGAATGTACAGCCTAGATGATGACTTCGTCGAAAAGAAAATTTTCTTCGCTGCAACCGTCTTCTTGTTTTCATCATTATAGAGTAATTGTTGCATAGTTTCTGTTGCTAGTTTTGAATTAGTTGAAGGGGGTATAATGCTGTGACATCAAAGGACAGCGTTAATTCATTGTCATTCAACTGAATGTTTTTGATTTTCTCTAAAAATTGGATTGGTAAAATTGATAGAATGGTTACAAGATTCTGTTAGGCATTTTAATTTTCTGAAAAGTTCTTTAGACAAATTATATGTTGGTGTTCTTGGCAGCAAATGATTGGTCGTAAGGAAATGTTTATTTTAGTGTAGTTTTGGCTTACCGTAGAATCGAGGTAAAAACCGGTCCGTTAAATTTTATTCATCATTCTGGTTTTTCGTCTCTTCGTGTTTTTAAGTATTGGTTTTGTAGGGATTTTGTTTGATTGCATGAAGGATTTAATCATGAGCTGACATCAGTTAGAGAACCACTGGAAAACCACCTAGGAGTACTGGACAGCTGTTTCGTCCTAGTTTGGGACTCCTCAGCAGTACGCACCCTCCGGGATTCGAACCCAGAACCTTCTGGTTACAAGGCGAGCTCGTAGACCATTGAGCCACTGGGACCCGATCCGATGGTCCTTGAATTCTAACTTCTGCCAATTCACGACATAGCGCGACCACTTAGCAATGTCTTCTTCGTGTTTTTTTTTTTTTTTTATTTTAGGGTCCTCCCATTAGAATGAAGATAACAGCTGAAACAACTATTCAAAAAGTTCCTGTGAAAACGTCTCATCAGTTGACTGGTGTAAGTTACTCTCCTAAGGTGTTTAATGACTAACTTATGACACTTTGGATTATTATGTATGAAGTTTTGAGTTCCCGCACCTCATTTCTATTGGGAAGTCACTTTTTCATCCGAATGACTAGAGAATATGAGGGAACATTTACTCATAACTCAAATTATCCGTGGAATTCCCAAGTGGTAAAGATTCTGAACGCGTAAAATATAAAAACTTGCCATAACGTAACAAGTAATTCTGGATATAAATGACACCCTTGTACATCTGTCTGTTCTGTCTGTTTTTGACATAGAACTTTGCACCGATGTGCGGTAGTTCAAGTCGCCACACTCCATGTAGCACACAAAGCAAGAGAAGACAGTAGAAATGGTTTGACCGCCGCTAGCTCTTTTCCAGCCTGACCCTATGTCAGCTAACATTGCCCACTGTCGAGGAAGGCGATGACTAGACATGCATACGTAACATATGTCCTAACCATCTCAATCGACGTAATTTCACAGCCTCGTCGATTGATTTCCCCTCCTACTTACCTAGCACTCGACCGGTGCCTTACCTCAGTATTGCTCACCTTACTATACCACTTCACACGGGAAATAGAACGCAGACACCTGTGATCAAAGACGGGCTAGCCGGCCTTTTCTTGTCCTCCACTCTCAATGGCCAGGTCTCACTCACAGCCATAAAGGAAGGACGAAGTGGACTGTTGAGCAGTACACCCGCCCTTTGGTCGATAACCAGCCGGATATCACGTCTACGCTAGAGATGGCGTAAACTGGCATATGCGAAACTAGTCCTCTGTATCCGTGCTGAGATTTCGTCAGAGATCAATCCGTTTCGGCTGATGGTTCCCTCGTACATTGTAATCTACTGTGGATCTATGACTAATCGATTTAGTCTCCGGACTTCTAACCACAATTTTGAACTCTACTCCACTCACCGAAGTTTAGTCACCGAGATAGTACCACTAGGCCTACCACACATATGTATCGGTTGAAGAATAGACACTTGGTAAAGGAATGTTTATTTGCAATTTGGTATCTCTGTATACAGGAATTTTACACACCTTATCGTCAACCCATCATTTGTGCAGATCTCCCGTGTTCGGCTACTTCTCGCCTTCCTTCATGTTATCGTTCTTTGTGTTCCTTTCACTTTCTCTGACATCAAATCTATCTCCCTGCTCTTTAATGTTTTTGCCGGCAGATACATATATCTTTATTTATATACTACTGCTAAATAGCATCAGTAGCATATGCCACATTTACACACAGTAGGCGTAACTTATTGTCAACTAGGCGGAAATGAAACTTGTTTTTAAGTAGCACTCCACTGGACTTCTAACTGACAGACGTTTCACTGTCTTCCTAGGCTCTATCACCAGTACAACTTCACATAAGAAATGAAATAACTTACAGACTGAAAGTGTCGAGTGTGCTCAAGGTTATCCATCTTGTGATACTATGCCTAAAACAGCAGTTTTTACACACACACACACACACACACACAAAGCAGACTATTCGAGTAGTTGATATTACCTTCCCCCAGTTATTCCATCCTTCTTGTTACAACAGTATTCCACACGGTACACCTGAGATATAAACACTTGCAACTAATATTACTAAGAATAGGGCGACTGAGTCGGTCAGTCAGGTCACATGAAGTGCATACCAATATCCCACCTAGGGAAATCAGAGTTACAGGATTTCATCATGAGCTGACCTTGGTTAGAGAACCATTGGAAAACCAGCACTGGACAGCTGTTTCGTCCTAGTTCGGGACTCCCCATCAGTACGCACACATGCAACATAAATGACTCAATGCAGATACCACAGATATGAAAGGTATTACTACCACCAGTGAAATCACAGGATAACAAATAATGTTGAAATGTATTCAGTTTACATTCTAACAAGTTACTTATTTATTTGACTATAAAAAAGATACTCGTTTTATTTCCCATCTGATTGTATTCGATTGATAACACTAATATTTGTATTTTCGAGTGTTACATTATCTTATATTGATTTCATTCAAATGTCTAATCATCAATTCCACTCATGTATATAAATGAAGCAAGAAAGTTGTGTGTGAGTACTGCCTTGATATGATTATGAGCGGAAATAAATTGTGCTCGAAACTGGTCATCAGTAAATATTACTGTACAAAGAACACACTATGTGGTATATCAAAATAAAATCTTATCCATAATGGAGTAATAAACTGTCCTAAACCAAGTTATCATCCATTCTTAGGAACTCCATATCAGGAAATGGAATGTCAAGACCGATTTCACTTCACTGTAGAGTGAAACTGATGTTTTCGTAGACACTACTCAAGGTTAGGAGAAAGCTCCTGAGATCCCTTCTCTTTCATTCTTTAGCATTCCTACTGAAATGTACGACTTCATGTTTTTAAAGTGGCAGTTACTGTGGATTCTTTACCATGAGATGGCATTATTAGCCCAACCTTCGCTGTTTTCCAACCTCACTACTGGCTAGCTAGTAAATTAGGCGATCTTTAGGAGTACATCGGCGGTCAGGAATCGAAACTCGACCACTTGCAGCTTGGCTAGCGATTATTTTTGTACCATTGAAACGTTGATGTATACTTCATGATTCACCTTCAACCTTATAGCATTTTCTTAATTAAATGTATAATTTAGCAGAAGTATTAATTATTATCGTCTCTAATTGACAGGAACCAATCGATACTTATTTCGTACATGCTGAAAGGTAAGTTTTTCAAAAATAATCTTTGCATAAATATATAACTGAGGCAGATTGTTCAACCTTTCATTTTGTTATTAAGAAGACGGTTGCAGCGAAGAAAATTTTCTTTTCGACGAAGTCATCATCTAGGCTGTACATTCGTCTATTTATATCAAATGGATGGGAAAGTTCTAGAATAATTTCCGGTCAAGGGTCAAATTAGTAAAAATTACAATTAGGAATTAAAATGCCATAATAAACAGGAGGACGGATAAAACTCAAACAAAGTAGCATCATAATTACTAAGATGATTGACACTATGCAGTTAGAAGGTTAGAAATGTAGAAATATCAACAATAGACAGGATGTTTGGATAAAAAAACTAATGTGATGAATAATTGTTTATGCAATCAGGGATTAAATATGTAGAAATAATAAAATAACAAATTAAACACGAAGTTCGGGTATGAAAATATGGTAGTGTAAACAGGGATTAAGAAAAAATTAAAATAACATGAATAAACAGGAAGTTTAGATAAGATAGGTGATGGGATGGTCATTACTAAAAAATTATCTGTTTATGAAGGCCATGGCAGGGACAGGGGTTGGACGTATTTCTTTTGTATACAAAGCGTGGGTTTGAGCTTTTGGATGGCTAGTGCCTCGGCTATGCCCAGATGTCTTGATTTCATTCCCTTTGATAGATTTGATTGAATCTTATGTATTACTTTGAAGGATTTTTCGAAAGGCGCTGAATGTTCTGAATTGACCAAATGTTCTGTCACTGAACTGTATACACGCTTTTGGTCTCCTTTTATTAACCAGACTGGGTAGTGTTCACTAGCGCGCCTTTCAAGTCGGCGCATGGTACGGCCAACGTACTCAGCTCCACAAGAGCAAGTAAACTGGTATATGCACGTTGAGGTGGCCCAATGCGACAGCTTGTCTTTCGCGTTCTGGCTAAACAGTTTCTTGCAGGAAAACGTCGGTCGTAGGCTCGCGGTGAAGTATGTTTTCCTGAGCGATTTGGAGAGGCGTTTACGAAGGATTTCTGCTTTAATATCACCTTTGAATTGTAGATTAAGCAGAAGTATTTTCTTTGGAACGGAATGGACTTGTTCGGAAGTCTTCTTAGATTTGAGATTCTTGTCTATGAAATAGTCAAAAGCAGTACAGAATAATCTTTAGCAAGAAAACAACCAATCAGGAGACGCTGTTTCTCCCTTGACAATAATGTACATAAAATATATACATATCTCTTGATTTTCTGAATAAACGATGTGTTGCTGGCCTTTGTCTTCTGTCGTTACAAGTTGACTGATAGCGAATTAAGTCTGCACCATACACGAAGGACTAGACACACACATGACACTAGTTCCTGACTAGTGTTCAATCAAAGCTTCCCTCTCTAGGTACTCATGAGCGTCGGTGGCACAGTGGTTAGGACTCTCGCCGACCATGCACATGGTCCATGGTTCGAGCCCACACCGACGCACACCTGATATCTATGGTTGGCCTGCAAAATTTGGGTTACCGATATCCACGCTGAAAATTCCATACTTGTACTAAAAATACGGTGTGGAATCAAGCTGTAATCAAAAATAAAAAAATAAATAGTGTTTCCAGCCCAAAAGCAACTTGTAATATTACATGTCAGGATGACTTTTTCAAGAATAAAGTCTTGAATCAAGGTTTTATGCGTACCTCTTTTACATCTTCTATGAATGAAACTTGCATTGTTCATTGCCGATATAGCGTAGAGGTAAAAAGAAAACTGCAAAAATTCAAATTAATTCGCTCCCCGATCCACACACAGCTGACTGCTTTATGGCAAGTCTCGAAAACAACATCCTCGATCCTTTGATCAATCAACTTCACCTATATAAGCTATACATAGATGACACGTTCATAATCTGTGATGAGATTAGTTGATTTAGAGTATCTCCTCAAAACCTTCAACGCAGTACACCTATCAATAAAATTCACCTTGAAACGTGAATCAAATATGGCGAGACTTTATGATCTAAAATGGATATATTGCAAGCCAAAATGGACTGGACAGTTCATCAACTTCCAAGGCTTCGTCCTATGGGTGCGAAAGGAAAGCCTGATAGGTATATTAAGTTCAAGGATTAAAAAATCCGTTTGAAAAACACGACAGAAAAGGAACTAAATTTTCTATATGTGAAATCCTAATAGAGAAAATAAAGGGAAAGCATCCGTCTCTAAAAATTACAACAGCTCTTATGAAAACTCTTTTCATGAACCTGGAATTCAAAGATAATATCGAATCAAAATTTATTTAGAGACCGCCCTTCTAAATGTCTGGAGAAGATGTTTCAAGCAGCCATCATATTCATCACATTCTCCATGAGATAGTTAATCCAGTCTAACGTTACGGATAAGATATCGCTTTTGGCCACCTCAGTGGGTATTTATCAATTCACTTGCTCTCGTGGAGCAAACGTTTATCGGCTGTATGCAACGTCAAGTCCACTAACATATTCTGAAACATTGTTCAGCTTTGTTAGCCAGAGGAGAAAAGAAGAATAGCAACAGCTCTCCATCCTCGAACACCTTGTCATCTTTGAATATCGAGCACAGATTACCTTAATATTGTATAAAGGGATTTCGCATACGCCATCTGTACATAGCTGGGTAGTAGTCTATTCTGGATCTGAAACCGAACTTTAGCATTCGAAAGCACCACATATATTCACTCGCCCTACCGTGACCACAGTAACGTTTTCATTATAATTTTACTAGTATTATTATTCTTGTCATCCTTAATTTATTATTACTCTACTACTGTTTATTGATAACACTGCGTTTTCAAACGGATTTTATACAAAACACTTTATCGTCTTTTCATGAGTTCTTATCCCCTCTATACAGTTATATTGATTAGTCATTTCCTCACAATTATTAGTCCGTACAAACTTCTGCCCCGCCTTTTCTGGTTTCCAATTAGTCACCCCTTATGGGCTACACCTAACATTGATTGATTCGTCTTTTTCGAGGACAATTTTTGCCAGTATTTGACGGCTGGTCTTGTGATTTTTTTGTTAAATATAATTACCAAGTGTTGGTTTTGTAGGGATTTGGTTTGATTGTATGGAGGATTTAATCATGAGCTGACATCAGTTAGAGAACCACTGGAAAACCAACTGGGAGTACTGGACAGCTGTTTCGTCCTAGTTTGGGACTCCTCATCAGTACGCACCCACCGGGATTCGAACCCAGGACCTTCTGGTTACAAGGCGAGCGAGTCGTAGACCATTGAGCCACTGGGACCCGATCCAATGGTTCTTCAATTCTAACTTCTGCCAATTCACGACATAGCGCGACCACTTCACAATGTCTTCTTCCATGAGTTACTGCCTCATCTTCGACCTGCTGTACCCTACTGGTCACGGCTTCCCACTAGAACCCCAGGTTAACTGTCTGGGTGGGTGCGTACTGCTGAGGAGTCCCAAACTACGACGAAACAGCTGTCCAGTACTCCCAGGTTTTCCAGTGGTTCTCTAACTGATATCAGCTCATGATTAAATCCTCCGTACAAAAATATAATTACGATTGTACAGCAGCTTCTGAAAATGAATCGTCGAAAAGGGAAACTTTTTTTCGCTGTTGACGTCATTTTTTGTGTGAAAATTCGAATACGTAATTTGCAAACTATACACATTTCGAGGGGGTGAAATTTCACTCTCACAGTTTCCCTTGGAAACCGAAATTATTCACATCACGCATAGTATGTGATCTATCTGATAGCATAAATGGTAAGCATCAACGCATAAGTAGTTGGACAGCACTCACACTCAAATAGTAATGATCTAAAGAAGGGATGGCTGTTTGACTTGTTTGAGGGGCGATCTCATCCGCGGTGTACCCTGTTTCTCCTACGCCAGATAACTAAATCATTAATTCAAAACCTGCAAATTTCGACCACCTCCTCTGTTGATCGCTTTGGTCAGGCTGACAGACAAGTGCGACTTATTTATGTTAGTAGCATTCAACTACTCACACCAGTTAGTCAGTAGTATGTCTCTAACTTCAACAAAAGGTAATTCAAATTCCAGCAGCTGAGGTGATAAGAGTTTTCACAAGAAGGTAATTGAAACGCTATTGATGCTCCATGTGCTGACTGACTCCTTAAATTTAATATGGAATTACAGAGGCCTACAGTGTACCATATATAAGTCGTGGAGAAGACGAGAGATGGCCTACAAAATAAATCAAAAACTAAATGAACAATTATGAGGTTACTTTCAAAATGATGACAAACCATGAATGCAACTGTTCGGGTGATATGCATACCGATTCATGTTACTTAGAACCACTCTCAGACCATTGATATCTATTGTCACACATGTCGTGTACAAACTTCTCTGACTACTATGTTTTAGCTTTGAAAGAATACGGCAATAAGTAGGTCAGGTCAACAGTTTATAGTGTTAAATAATCGATAATTTTAGCTTCACACAGAACCCTCTTTTATGCTAAATCACATCGTTTACTGGCCCTGGATGAGCTCACTTCTAATCCCACCTCCTGAGCTGCTGTTTAGCGCCTTGGTGAAGAGGGAGGGTTGCATGTATGTGTCTGTGAAGCTAGCCACTTGTTATGTACTCGTCGCTAAATTATTGTTATGGACTGGTCGAGAAACTAATAGTCCTGACGCGAGAAGGCGGAAATCAGAAGACCACTAGGTTTGCGATGATACTTCTATTGTCCAAACACAAGGAGATGAAAATAAATGGTCTCACACCAAAGTGGTAAGTAAGTAAAGTAAAGTCACAAGATTGTGAATGCGAAATATATATGAATGTTCCAGACAAAGCGTGGGAAAAATCATTAGACAGTCTTAACATGAATGGCTAATTATAATGGAGTGTCGATCCAAATATACATAGCGAATATAGCAGACATGTCAACAACCATATATGGATATATGTCACCAAGCAACGGACTGTCAACAAACACTCATATTATATATAATATAATATGAGGAGAATATAAATTGTTAAAAGAGACAAGTTCATACCAGTGAAATGGTCACAGACTAAGCGAGCAAACAGAAAGAGAGACCAACATACACACACACACATAAATATATATATATATATATATATGTGGATACATATCTCCACTATACTCCGTAAAATCACAAGGCGACATCGCCTCTACTAAAACTTCAGAGGTCATTTTCCATATTTATTGACTGTTTACCCATCAACTTTATCATTAAATGACCTACTCTCCACATTTACAGCAGCTACCTTACGGATCTACCAACTGGAAGGTCACCTACTTGTCGAAACTGTTCAGACGTTGACGAATCGCAAATCGCTTCAGAGGATGCAACTACTATGGAAAGAATAAACAAGAAGGTGAAAAGGACAAAAGTAAAATGGAATCCTATAGAACTTTTAGTGACGTCATCCTCATTCAAATCAAAAAATAATGAAGATTATGGAGAGTTCATTTATCCAGCCGATAGACTGAAATCGTCTGGTCTGGTTTTAATTGAGGGAAAATAAATTTGGTAAGATGTCATTTAATTTCTCTTCCCTTTTGGCTTTTAATGATCCTTATATATTACATTTTTGTATATATAACGCTGAGTAGAAAATAAGGCTTCAGAATCACTCATCCCCTTCTCACACGATCTCCTCCGTGTTACTCTCGGACAATTTTTAATTTAATTTATTCCAAAAACAGCACTACTTATAATACAGAATGGAATTCTCAGCAATTGTCACATTATTGCATCTGATTTACTTAAAATATAAATAAAATTAAAAATTAAAACAAAAGTAACCAGAGGAATTTGAAAGGGGCCACAGTCAGTTTCTAGGTCATGATGAGTTCCTGCGTCGGCTAGTTATATGTTTTCGTGAATTCGTTTTCCATTGAATTTTAAAGGTTTTTCGGCGAAGTACAAGAATAGCGTCCCAGGAGTGCGAACGTTCAAATGACCTTGAACGCATGCTAGTCATTGGCTAATGGTTCCTGTCATTATCATAGCTGAAATATCAACCCTGTTCATCAAATAAGGAGCAAGTTTCACCCAGTTAACGCTTTTAATTACTGTTTGGACAATGTGTTAACATCTCGTTAGGGTTAGGATTAGGGTTAAGGCGAGTATTGGGGTTAGGGTTAGGGATACGGTCATAATTGGGATTAGGGTTGGATTTACGGCAGGATAAGGATTGTCATCTGGGTTAGGATTAAGGTTAGGGCCAGTGTGAAATTTAGGGTTAGGGTCAGGATTAAAGCTAGGGTTACGATTGGGAATATATTTGTCGTTTATTTCAACTTGTTTAATTATCCTCATTTCCCTTGTATGTAGTCGCCAATGCTCTTACTGGAACCATAGTAACTAAACTGAGGGCTTAGGAGAGGACTACACAGCAATGGAAGAGAGATGAACCATTCCCAAGACAGCACACCTTCAGTCACTTTGGTGAATACATCTACAGAAACTAGTCCAAATTAGCAACTGATACACTTCATCGCAACTGGAACGTATTTTTAAGTCATATCAGAGATATATAATCCGTTTAATGTGTTTTCATGCATTTTCTTGTGAATATACGTCGTTTTTCGTGCAAAAATTCCTCATTTTTATGATTGGCTGCCTTAAGGTCACTCGTGCGTTCGCATCCCTTGGGACGCTATTGTTGAACTTTGCCGGTTTTTCTGGATGTTTTGCTTATTTTGCAGTGTGTAGGGCAGTTTTTGTCACTGGGTACTACTATTTAGCTTATTTTTAGCCTGGAGTTCACAGTTATTATGTTGGTAGTCAAAGATTATTGTAAACCTGCAATCATTGAGCTAATTAACGTATACTATGCTAATATAGTAACACAGACTATGCTAATAATAGTAACATTAAACTCCCTTACTGTTTTGCCATTGTTTGACAGTGAAACTGTGCGCTGGTTTTTCAGCATGAGTGGCACTAAATCGAACCTACTGGGTTTGTTTATCAACGTTGTTCCAGCCCTCACAGGACATATTAAGCATGAACTAGCGTTACTCCAGAGCGGAAAGTTTTGATTCAGCACGCAGCTGTCTTTTTAAGCAAGACCTGTGTCATTTCAGAATATAGTGGGTAAATATGATCTTCAGTTACCATAAAAAGGCATTATTATTAGAATAAGTTTACAATTGTTGTAAGCTTGGTGGTGCTGCGGTCTAAGTGATAAATCGTATTAATCACCATTATTCAGGATATGCTATGTACCGGAAATGCTCAGCTGAAAAAAAGTAGTAATTAGGACGCAGATCAGTGTAATTTATAACGGACTCCAAATCGCTCTCATCACGAAATAATCAACCAAAGTATGCTTTAAACTGTCGCTCTCAGCCGTTTGAAGGGAAATTTACTTGATTTATGCTGACCTAGTATGCACAAATCCCACAAGTCATTGAATTGACAACTTAAAAAGTAGATTAGTTAATACATACATTTATCTATATGTACTAATTAAGGATACATTAAATTTTTAGAAATTGTAGTTAAATTTTATTCGCCTAGTAATCAAAAATGCATACATCCTATTTTGGACTTAAAATAAATGCATCGAAATTATTGTTGATTTATATTCAGTTACTAGACATTCTCATACATCTCAATATACTTTAGACATCAACAATGCATCTAAATAGCGTGTGACTATCACACTACACCCATACCAGGAAAATTAACACGCCATTATATTATAGTAAGGTAAGCCCTAAATCATACTGACTGTAAATTTCCGTGTCAAAATAAAAAGATTACCGCTTTAACTCATATTTTAGACCAATAGGAAGCCAGCTAACCAACAGCCAATCAAAATCTGCCTATATCTTTTTCCGAGGAATTTGTCCACATTTATTGTATAAAGTCAAAATTTAGGCAGTACGAAATGAGAATAGTAAATATAATAATATTTATTTATTTAGTAGTGCAAAGAAGGTTAGTTAGTTAGTTCATGCCTAACACTATTTTCATCACATAAAGTATGTGCCGTCAAATATGGTATAGTGGAATTTCTATACTTAGACGTACTTGCATAAAGTCTTCTGAAAAGACTTCTTGTTTTACCTGAGAAGACACAAGGTTAGAGCTGTGGGTGCTGCGATGGATGCTCACAGTCTGACAGAATTCCTTTATCAAATTTGTTACATGATATCAAGTGCCTATCAGTGACAATGTCAACGATATGGTGTAATGGGATACCACTCGCCCTACTGACTTACAGTCTTCAGAGTTCTACGAAGTATGACATAGTCCCTTTTAAGCAACTGAGGAAAGAATAAGGGTGAACAGTAAACAAGAATAGGTCAATTACACGAGTTGAAAAAGTGCATAAAGAGTGGTTGAGTTGTGTATGCCTGAGTGCCTCAACTTCTTAGTGTAAAAAGTCGAACGAAAGATTCTTTTAGAAATCGCTTAGACATGGGAAGATCAGGATTGGTCAGAAAAGAGAATTAATCCAAGATACTTAACTTCAGACTTGATTTCTATATCAGTGTCATCAATTTTGCAAAGGTCATAGGAACCAACGGCTTCATTTAACTTTCGTTTACATCGAAAACTGAAATTAACAGTTTCACATTTGAAGGATTTAGTTTAAGACAATTAGACGAAGACCATCTTCTAATTCCTGATAGAACGCTGTTCATCTTTGTACAGTCTAGCTGGGAGTTAACAGACAATAAAATAGTTAGACCATCGGCATACTTAACAAAGTTCATTTCATCAGAGTGAGGCAAATCATGCAAGAAGAAAGAAAACAGAAAAGGAGAAAGGACAGCGCCTTGAGGGACACCAGCCTCAGTAAGCAAAGAAGTGGACGACTTTCCCTGATAAACAGTGTACTGTTTTCTTCCTGAGAAATAAGAATGCAGCCATGTGACAACACAACAGTCATTTTGAGTTTCAGCAAGCCTGTTTAACAAAATGTCCCTAGGTACTGAGTTGAAAGCAGATATGTAATCTAGGAAGGTGCAGCGAACACATTTAGCCCCCCTGTCTAGCTGGAGACTGCAACTGCATCTAAAGTACTTCTGCTGTGTTTATAAGCGAATTGTTTGGAATCGTTAAAGGCTTTAAGTGAAGGCTGAAGATTAGATAAGACTAACTTTTCCATAGTTTTTAGAAAAGGAGACGTAATAGCAATAGGTCTAAATTTAAAACATATTCCAGTAGACGACTTAGGGATAGGTACAATTTTGATATGCTCCCACACGGCTGACAGTATGCATAACTCGTCGTTTCCCATTCGGTTTTCACTCATGTGAGGGTCTGACACGTGAAGTCACTCAACGACTACCTCATTGTCTGTACACAACCCATCTCCATGTCGTCTAGTAGGTTTCGCGGTTAGTTCGTTGCCAGAGTTCCTTGTTACTAATGTCTTCTAGCCCCGGCTATCTGATCTTCAGCATGGAGCGAAGACAACTGTCGATAAGTCTTTTGATAACCCACCAATTCTTTGAACCATATAGAACAACTGATGTGATTGGTATTTATGTTAAAAATTAGGAGGATATTGTCGCTTGAGTCGAGTGTTGTCGATTTCCAGACTGATTTCAGATTAATAAAGTTCAATCCTGCCTTTGACATCTCCATCCATACCGCCTGTAGCTGACCCGATACTGTCTAGATAGGAGAAAGTGATGATCCTCTTCAAATTTCTCCCTCTGATGGTGATTTATACGTGATGTTGCTGTTATTGTTGTTGTTGTTGTTGTTGTTGTCGGTTAGGTATCTTCATCACCTCTGTCTTCATTTATGCTTATTTTATACTACTGAAATACCTGACTAGTAGTTGGGTAATAAATTGCGAAATAAATCAATCAAATTAACCCCTACTTGAACGTCTCATGACTATCTCTTTATAATACTTAGATGATGAGTTTTGTTATAATTTGGAAGAATTCCGATGAAGATTTCATCATGAATCACGGTCCAATTCATTGAACAGTCAATGAACTTGTTTAGTAATCTGAAACTCCAGAAACGATTTCTGATGGAGATTTGGCTGGGCACTACCGAAGTTTCGAACTAGGAGAACGAAACAGGTGTCAAGTAGAGTACTTTCTGATTTCCAGTGATTCTATAAATTGGTTAGAGAACTGTTGAAAAACCAGAGAGTACTGAACAGCCAGCTGTATAGACCTAGTTTGGGATTCCTCAACTGTACCCACCCACTGTGGGTTAAATTCCGTACCTTACGATTACAAGGCGAGGTCGTACACCATTCAGCCATTGAGACCCGATCCATTGGCCAGCGCACAAATTCGTGAACCCTAGTAGGTATGTACTACTGAAGAATCCCAAACTTGGACGAGATAGCTGTCAATACTCTCTTGTTTTCAAAAGGTTTTCTAACTGATGTCAATTAGCGAACAAACCTGTAATTCGCACAAAAATTAGGCCACTGAAATGCATTCACTCACATCTAATTACGTAGTAAGACTGGATAGGGAAAAAAGTACTCAAACGTAGAGGAACAGGAGGAGCTTATTCCACGAATCTCTGTTAGTCAAATGGGAAGTGTAGATTGTCTGCTAGGAGTCCTCAAGATTCTAAGAGTCAGTTGATTAAGACTGCTCGTGATGTGGCTTAAGGATATTTTCAGCAACGTGGGTGAGTTCATTCTTTGTACTCTTCCAGATACACTAAATTCTTAGTATTCTATGTGTGTGTGTGTAATTTTTCCCTCTCCCATACATTTTCTTATTTTATAATTTGTTCACAGTTCTTTAAGTGTGCGCTTTCTTGAAGTATGTCTGCTTAAACTTCTGCAATACTTTTGTGCAAAGTTCTACATTGAAAACAATGACTCAGTGGGTCAGCCATCAATGCTTGCATTATAACACATAAACATTTTGTTTTTTTATCTTTCCAAGCAAACTGAACTGTCCTTTTGAATGACTACAAATGTTTGACCTTGAATTCAAAAATCGCGCTATTCAATTGTCAATGTAATTCGATATCACTATGAATTGTATTCTTTAATTTATGTCAATTTCAAATCAAGTGATTCACTGATTAGCTGATTTGATTGATTTGTTCTTACTTTCTATATGTTTATATGACAAAAATGAGTAACACTATTAGCAGACTACTTAATTGACATATGAGTAGCGAGCTGAATAAGTTTATCTAAATTAGAAGGATTTTACTAATCTTTTTATACGATCAAATGTTGTTTGGTAACAATTAACTGCTTTCCTTTCCTAAATATAAATTTTTTTCCAAGAAAGGCGTTTATTTTTTTTCGAAAATGTGAACTTTTAACTACTATATTTGCGAAATATAAAGCACTATGTAAGCTCAATCGATTGACGCTACCTTGACACAGAAATCGAGTCGTTCAAAAAGAATGTTCCTGCAGCTGTTAATATTAGGATTAAATCTCTTGAATAACGATTAAGTTAAACACATTTATCATTACAGCATGGTTGGTTCACACTATGATATACTTCTGACGAACGGGAGCGTAACAGCACTGAAATATTTCTGTTGGACGACTAGCAAGCCAGGTACGCTGGCTCCTCGCTCTGAGGTTGGTTTCATATAAGAAGTTGACCCTAAAGAATACATATCTCAACTTACAGCAAAGAGCTTCATAGCCAGGGATATATCCTGTTTACGGACACAAATACAGCAGTACGCACCCAACGTTAGAAGTTAGAATTCATGGGCTGGCTGGCCATTGGATCAGGTCCCAGTGGCTACTGAATGGTCTACGGGTTCGCCTTGTAACCAGAAGGTCCTGGGTCCGAACTCACCTGTAGTGGGTGCGTACTGCAGAAGAGTCCTAAACCAGACTGGAGAAACAGCTGTCTGGTAGTACTCCCAGCTGGTTTTCCAATGGTTCTCTAATTGATGTCAGCTCATGATGAAATCCTGCAACTAATGTTCTTTTCATTGCAATCTAGTTTCAGTACTACATGAAGTTAGTAGTCGGCTTATTTTACACGTATATCAGTTGTGTTATATCCTGTCCAAAATGCATACAAGATGTGATTGAATCGTTGAGAGCGTATACTGTATTATTATTCCTTTGGCTTCAATTGGAACGTATGGCTTCAGTAGCATATGTCCATTGTACTCTGTTCTCTGATGTTTTTTTTTCCAGATAGCTCCACAACCGTCCTTAGGCTTTCATTTACTCCTCCTCACACAACTCCCTCCATGCCAATCTCGAACCCACACTAAACTCGTTGAGCTTCCTGTTCAGGTTCCACCTGATGTCACTTAGCGGTCTCCTCAGCGTATATCGAGTTCATCTCCATTTTCTCCTTCATATTTGTAGGGTGAAAGGTCTTGGTTGTTTTATTGCATTGCCAGAGTACCTAGTTGGTTATCCTTTCTGGCCTGCTATGTGATCTTTAATTATTTCATAGAAGGCAACCGTCGAAACAATACTGCCTAAACAAGTGAAAAAGGAACTTCCTTTAGATTTCTTTTGTTGATGATGATTAATGCTTGTGACTATTGTTCGTCGGCAGGCATTTTCATCATCTTCGTCTTCTCTATGTTCCAACTTATTGGGTTTTTTTTCTCCTATAAGTCATAAATCCTTCTTGAAGTCCAGATCTCTTAAGGTCTTCTTACCAGTCCTACATATTTACAATTATTAGTGTTCTCCGAGCTGGTTGGTTTAATTGCGGAGCTTTCGTCGTCCACCTTCTGGACGACATCTTCAGCGCAGTATTTAGCAGAAAGTTAAATGATTTTAAAATCTCCATGAATGATGATACAATGGCGTCTCCTGGTGACCAACCATCTTCACATATGTGTATTGACCGTTTTCTATTGATTGGGATTTTAAACTTTCTGGTCACCTGATTTACTTTTTATTAGTTAGTATATTTCGTCGTCTATATTAACGTGTTTGTTAATTGCTGGCTGCTTCGTTTGAGTACAGGCTTCTAGGAATTCCATGACACATTTGGTGTTTCCTCTGCGTTTCCCAATCAATAGAAAACGGTCAATACACATATGTGAAGATGGTTGGTCACCAGGAGACGCAATTGTATCATCATTCATGGAGATTTTTAAATCATTTAACTTTCTGCTAAATACTGTGCTGAAGATGTCGTCCAGAAGGTGGACGACGAAAGCTCTGCAACTAAACCAACCAGCTCAGAGAACACTAATAATTGTAAATCATCCACCTGAGTTACAAATCTTTTCTATTATTTCAAAGTCCTACATATTCTTGTGAAACTGAAACGATTTGAAAAATTATATAATTTTAGTCATTTAAACTATCTAAATAATGGCAAAACACAGAGTTAGAGGCAGGCATTGTATTTTATTATAGTTTTTTTTAGAATTCAGAAATATTCAAACCACTAGACGTCATACATAACACTGATACCATCATGACCTAGACTTGTCCACAATATCTCCTTTCAAACAGCTAACCGAAATTTCTGTGATTTTTGAAAGATTCAACTGTTCAAAATGGACTCATTATGGTATAGTATGCATCTGTGGTTGGATTGGTAGAGTGCTCATTCGCCACACTATAAATGGTGTCAGGTTTAGCTTTCCGACAACGCGATGAGACTGACCAAATGGCTTCAGCATAGAGCTTTGTAGGAAATGCAGCAGTTCAAGTTTTTTCACACTCCATGAAGCACACAAAAAAAAGAAACAGTTTTTGAAATACGATAATCAGCAGAAATCCGAGGGGGGATAATGGCAACATAGAAAAACAACAGGGTCGTGATATAATTGTGTATTCTTTGAGTTCGACGGATGACCTTGAACGTTTAAGGTCATTGATAAAATGATAGAGAAACGGAAAGCTCACTTCATCAAATTGAAGTTTGTGCTTAAGGTGTTGCCTAGTAGGGTAATGAAAGCTTTGCAAATAAACCCTCTAGCCCACAGAACACAACTACATATCAAAACCACCCACCCATATCTACAATAGGTTTATTTTTGAATATGTCAGACCAAAGAAAGTGAATTTGTCAGTGCCATTGAAAACAATTCTGTGCCATATCACCAATGTCTCCAGGCACCATTAGTTCTTACCATCACAAGGATCCCAACGAGACAGTAGTCTACACCTCCCTACGTGACTGGCTGGCGCAAACTAAATATCACTTCATTATACATATTGCTGAAGAGTCCCTATCAGAGACGAAACAACTGTCCACTGCCCCAGTTCTGGTTTCCAATGATTCTCTAACTGATATTAGCTCATAATGAAACCATAAAGCCGAATATCTGCTCATGTAAGCAATATCAAGTATGCGAAACTAAGATGACGCAACATCTATTCCGGATACCTGGAAAATTGCAGCAAAAATAAAAGGGAGGGAGTGAGGATATGTACAGCAAGTTATCAATTTATCTGATTTTTTTATGAAAATAAAACTGAATCGATAACCATTATAGGTTATTTCAAATTCCCTATTGATTGATTTATTGGACGGGGGAGGAGTTCATCATGAGTTTACATCAGTTCGAGAACCACTGGAAACCCTACAGGGAGTGCTGGACAGCTAGTTGTCTTGTCCTAGTTCCGGAATCTTCATCAGTAGGCACCCATCACAGGTGAGTTCGAACCGAGGACTTTCCAGTTACAAGTCAAGCTAGCTCGTATACCATTAAGCCACTGGAGCCGACTCCTACCCAATCGCTCATGAATTCTGACTTTGGCCAATTCATGACACAGCGTGACCACTTCGTAATGTCTTCTTCGATGAGTTACTGTCTCACCTTCAACCTGATGTACCCTACTGTTCACGGTTTTCTACTAGAACCACAGATTAACTGCCTGAATAGGGCGAGTAGTCGCTAGTGAGCATCAGATTAATTCTGGTTTATATTGAACTGATCGGACTCCTGGTACTACCGGTCCGATACTATCTGATGGAAAGTGTTTGGTAACCGTACAACCAAGGACATACACTTCGTCTCTATTTTGATCTCGTCACCTGGGAACAGCGTGATTGATTGGGAGCTCAGTTACCTCCAATATTTCTGCCATTTCATTCCATCCAATAACCACTCACACACATCAGTCGTGAATTCGCTTTGTAATACAACACTTTTATATCAAACGAAACTGATTATTATGATGTAATTAATCGATATTAACTCTCACTAGTACAGCATATTACCGATAAACGCATAATAGATAAATTTTATTGCAAGGACAGATTATAACTGCGTACTTTTGCTTCAGTATTCCATCAACTTGTAACCAGGCTTCTGTTCTATTCCATGTTCAGTCAGGAGCTGACTTCAGTTAGAAAACAACTGGACAGCTGTTTTGTCCTTGTTTGTGACTCTTCGGTTGTATGAATCCACCCAATATCGCACCTACTAGAGATTGAATCAAGGATCTCCAGGTTACGAGATGAGCTCGTAGACCACTCAGCCAAGAGAAGCCAATCCAATGGTCCATGAATTCTAACTTCTCTCAATTCGTGATAAACAGCACAACCACCATTCGGCGAAGTTCAACAATAGCGTCCAACCTTGGACGCTTGCTAGTCGTTGGTTGAGGAAACACACCATTATTCTAGCGCTAAAATGAACTGTGTTCATCTGCTCAGATGAAAATTTCACCCAGATCACGTATTTCAATACTGTCTGGATAATGGATTGATAGGACGTTCTCGTATATGTAGCTGTGGTGCCTCAATGAACCTGCAACTGTATTCACAGGTGACTGATGGACATATATATTTAGATGTACACAGTGTAGGAAACGAATAAGTGTTCGCACTGGTAAGTGACACTCTCAGTTAATTGTCTTCTAAGAACTTTCTTTGAAAAATCGAAACTTTCTATGACGAATATACTGTTTCTATGCCATTACTGGATTTTGAAGTCCGGTGTGAGATCAACTTCCGCTCAAACAGATAATACATTGACATCTACTGTACAATGGTTCCAATTTTGTCAAGATTTGGCGTCATGGAAAATGAACGGTATTATACAAGTGTTGGGAAGAGTCGGTGTTGTCATTCATATCGACGAAATGGTCCTTATAAAGAAGAAATACAATCAGGGTCGTGCTAGAGCAAATAACGTTTGGGTTTTGGGAATTTACGACACCCAAATTCGGAAAGGATTTATTGAACTTATTCCAGATAAGAGTGCTGACACTCTTCTCCTTATTATTCAGAGGCTCACCTTGCCAGGCACTACCATTCACACACGGATGAATGGGCAGCATATAACCGATTATCAGATTTGTGATATATGCACTATCGAGTTAACCAT